CGGCTAAAAGTTAATATCAATTACTTGATTTGGTCAATTACGAGAGCCCTGACATCCTGACTCCCGAAGACGGGAACCCCCCCAACAAGCCATGCCCATTACTGTACCTCCCGAAGGTAGGAAAGCCCCAAGAAGCCACGCCCATTACTGTACCTCCCGTCCAGCGGCACACGTTGGGACAGGTGAGACTGTTTTTGTCCCCCCCCCCCCCCAACTATGTTCGTGCTATCCGATTGGCCAAGTAATGGCATTGACAGTCGGTCGAGTGATTGATCCCAGAAAATAATCGGATTATAGCCCAGCTCAAGTAATCGTATAACCTGATCACCAATGATTGCACACACACACACAAAACGCCATCATAATCAATGTGATTTTAATTAATCCGACATTTCCAATCGTGACAGTAAATGCATTGTTGTCGTTTCGATGATAAGCCGTCTGTGTAGGAGGGCGTTGCAACGGTGGACGAGAAGCATTTGAAAGGTCCCTTAAAACAATATCAATTTGTGGTGCCACCTGCCCGATGCCATTCTCTCACCGGGGGTGTTGGTGCCTTGCGATGAATGAGAATTTCAAAAGGAACTGTCCTTTGTCTCGTTACCAAGCCGATAAGCCACAGTTGCAATACAATTTGGAAGTACACAAAAAAATCAAGAACATAAATAATGCGCATACACACGGGACATCAACGTTTTCATAGGAAACTGCGGAGGGGGGGGAAACACACACACACATGGGCAACGCATCGAAGACGTATGCCTATATAAGACAGTGCTTTGGTTGTTTGGTTTGGTGAATCTCTCCATGGAATAGCGTGGGGGGTGCGGGTGGCTTTCCCCTTTTTAATTAAGAACTTTGCAACCCCCGCATCGCTGGTGTCAACCAGGGAGCCCTCACAGGCGGGGCTGCGTGCTCACGCCCACACACGAGGCCCTTCTACGATGCGGCAGTCACAACCGCATGCGATGATAATTGATCTCAATGAATGTCAACATATAAATGCAATGAATGCGTCAGTGCACAGCTATCTCGTCGAACGTCGCGTCAGAGTTTTGAAAGAACACACACGCACACACGCACACATTATTCAAGAAAGCATTCAAATCGTCTCCATGATCGAAGCAGGTGTTTCGATTAGCCATCGAACAAAGACGGTCAACGCATCGCGCGCTATCATATGCGCCTCTGCGGCCCTCTGGAACGCTCTTCCTTCCGATATTCGGAAGCCACTGGAGCTGATTTGTGTGTGTTAATGTGGTGTCCTTTCCCCCGCACCTCCGATTTGCACGGTTGGCTAGGTACGGTGCGAAATAAGTTCAAAATACGGACATACATACAAGTATCACACAGAGTCAGTGGTGCCAACTTCACGTTCCCTTGGAAAGAACAAGTACGTGCATGGAATAATCACCGCGAAATTCCCAGTGTTGCAACCTCGCAACAATGAAAAACGAAATCCAGACATTCGCAATCCACCGATGGATGACTGCTCCACGCCATTTTGGTTGTGGGTAGTTATTTGGCATTCTTCACCGTGCCGGTGAATGCGATTTGGGGGCATCTGATAAGGGGCAGACCGTTTCTGATATCACTCGCCAAAAGGCAAAGGGTCCACTGAGCTACGTAGCTCTTTGCAGAAGCGACCTTGCCGCAAATGATAGCATAACGAAATGGCTTATCGCATGGAAATGTATAGCAGCCAAATACTCTAAATTCATGTTTCTAAATGAGGGGGGGGGGGGGGGAAACGGAGAACCTAGAGAAAAATCCACGTGACCACGGGGGGAACATGCACACTCCGAATATACTGCCGAGGGAGATAATATTACGCCACCATTGCCAGCATCAAACTCGGATCGCCGAATTCGTCGCGCAGAACGGTAACCACTTGATCACAGCTGGAGCCACTACTCATCCTCTTAATGTGGAGGACTTACGATGATGGGCTAAATTGAGCCAAGTCTAGACGTTTAACTCATGATCTCATGGACTCGACTAATAGCAGGGCCATTTAACCAGCTTAGCTTTACCTTGAGAAATAAAAATAATGATCACAACTTCCCACATGTTCCAGTTTTCTTCACATTGTCGGGTGTCTTTTGCCAGACCTCAAATCCGATGGCAAGGATTTGGTTCACAAAAATCAAAATGACTCAGCCGGTATCGGGGCCACACGAGATTGGCTTTTTGGTCGCTGGCTATTTTTTTTTTACACGGCAAATGCCCTCTTTGGCAAAAGCAAAAAGCCATGCTTTGAGTGCGTGCAATTTACAGCCGCTAAAATGGTGTGTTCTTCCCCAACTTGCAATTTCAGTCAACATAGCAAAGAGGAGCATAGCTATTAATTCAGTGTGTCTATGCACACGCACAACAAATTGGTCTTAACAATTGTGGAAATGTTCCGAACAGAGTATTCATGGACGACTAGCCCCGTTCCCGAAACCTGAATCTTATATATTCATCCAATTTTGAGAATGTAAACATGGCCCGCTTGCACAAATTGGCAATATCCAGCAAACACGGTGTTAGAGACACCGTTTGCAAATTCGAATCGTATAACCAGCATTGTGAATAGATTTTCAGGCATATGTGCAACAGAATTTGTAGCGTGCATGGACAAACGTGCAAATACACGAATATATATGCGCGTTTATCAACAATTCGGCTGCAATTATTCTAATGTGCTCGCTCATGCAATCAGATGGCAGAAGTGTTTTTTTTTTTTGTTTTAATGCTTAAATTGCTTTGTGTTGATGACGTACGTATCGGGCACCCGCACTTGCCCGAGCGCTGTGACATTAAGGATGGCGTCACAAAAGGGGGGGGGGGCTTCACTTTCACTCCCCGAAATGCATCAATCCCGATGCACTTAGAAGAGGACGCATTCATACGCACGGTTGTCACGCGTCCGAGTGACTCGCCGAACCCGGCGTTTCAAGCGGCGAATGCAGCACGCGAAAGCTCGACACCCCCACCACCCCCCCCCACCCCTATTGCGCTTTGCTGAAAGGCGTTCAGGCCCTTAAACGTCAGGCCACCAGCATCGACTGCCACGATCCATCCCACCGATGGACGGTCACCTAGGAGGCGTCGCCGTGCCTCGCGCTTCCCGCGATACAACGGGTCCAGTTAAAGGAAGTCACAAATGTCCGATTGGCCACGTATTTTACCCCCACGTGGAAGTGATCATCAAGCAATCGGTTCCTGCCTCACCCACAGGGGGATTTCACCATCAGTCGTGGTCTCAATAATGGCATGCACGCCTGCTCGCCACCGGCTCCAAACATGCACGCAGTCGCATCACGAGGCCAGCTCACGCGTCTCGGCAGGAGACCCTCAATTGCTGTGTAGCAGCAGCGCACCACAGCTGCTGTAAAACCCGCGTGCGAACAGCGAGGCCACAGAGCCTGCAGGAATACGAATTCCTGCAGTTACAAAAGTTAAGTCAAAATAGAGCCTTCTGTATTCGTGGTGTAGGGTTGGGGGGGGGGATGAATTGCAATTGCTAATGTGGCTCTTATTTTGCAGGCACGTACCCAAGTGGTTTCCCCTGGGCTGTATCAGAGTGAAGTGCAGTCAATTCGCACCAAAACGTAAACCGCATTCAATTACAGCACTCTGGTAAAGGCGCCCCAAACAAAGCCCCCGTATAGCCTGAACGGACTGTTGGGGCAAGTGTTAGCGAGCACCTATGAAGGCTGGTACAGAACACGAGGGTGTGGGTGGCCAACACCACGGCCAGCTGCCTTTGCCTTCAGTGGCGATGTGTAAACACCTCACTCATTTTAAGCAAGTCTACCTAGAGGTCTAGGACCGGTTCAAGAGAATAGTCACTGGCGTTGGCCACGAGCAGGACTCGAACTCGGGTCGCCAGGTTTTGTAGTACAGCGTGCTAACCGCCACACGACCGGCGAAACATTGCTCCCATGTCAACAACCACCACTAAAAGATTTTCCCATCAAGCTGCAGGGGACCTCAAACTTTTGGCAGCAGTAATCCACCATTTGTTAGTCACGGCCATCATGCCCCATCCGGTCAACGGTGCCAAGCAATTTGTTACATTGCCTTCACCACAACAAGTGTGAATTTCCTCGGTCACCCCCTCCAAATGCCAAACCATCATCGTAAACTATACCGTTATGGATGAATGGAACTGGGACAGTCCAACATAGCTCATGCACAGATCTACAACTATGGGCTGGGTTTCCTTCAAGCAGTGTCAGGTCGAGCAGGCAACTCCCACCAAGCAAGGGGTGCGCGGGCATCAGGTCGACCATTTTTGAAGTCTTCCATTAATAAGGGATGAGAGGGCAGCAGCGTTCAACTCTGCCCTTCATCTTTCTGGGCGTTGGCAAGTCGCCACCACTTATAAAGACCCTAAGTGGTTGCCTAAAAATGTTAAGTTCCATGCCTGGCTCCACAACTATCGCGCAAGAAACCACAGTAAAAACTTGGTAAAACACGGCGACTAGGCCTTGGCAAAGCGTGGTTTGAGAAGCCTGCAAGGGTCGTCCGTGCATTGTACATGCCAGTCAAAAATTCGAGCAGGTTATCACCGAAATAAAGCATCCATGGCTTTGGGCAAAAGGAGACGACTGAGCAGTCGAGGAAAAAAGGCACCCCATAAATGGTTGAGCCCTCACCATGGATTTCGGTTAAGGGGACCCCTTTGCACAAAGTAAAGGGGATTGTTAATACTACCCTGGTGTGGTGTATGAAGTGCAGTCATCTATAAAATGGTAGAGTGTTGAACGTGAGCACCACAAGCTAACCGTGCAGAGATGTGGCAGGACAAACCGAGCACGGAAAGCAGTCCCAAAAGAAAGCGTTTACATCTAGGTTTTAAGTGCGCAGCTCCAGTGGGTTCCTGACAGAAGGAAGAGTATTCCAGCAATCTGCAGAAGCACATCTTAAAGTGCAGTGCCAGCAGTCAATGATCAGCAAAAAGCCACTGCCAGGATAACTGCGACCTTGTATAAAAGGAACGGTTCAGGAAGCAATCTTCTACATTGGCATTTATTTAAAAACAATGTTCCTTTTGCAATATTATTAAAAAGTGTAATAAGTGCAGCATTTTAAAGTCTAGGATAAAACTATTACATGCCAGCATAGGTGAAAAAAACCACGTTAAAAAGTAACAATTTGCAAATGTGCGAGTGGATACAAGACAGGACTCCCGTAGCGCAATTGGGAGACTCGTTTCAATGGTTGTAAAATCGTGCCATCTCGCATGGCAAAGCACAAATGGGCATTGGTAACGATACGTGATGTGCATTAGAAAAAACGGGGTCGGGTACCAACACAAAGTAATATCGCAAGCACGTTCAAAAGCCAGGGAGTGTTTAAATTAGCCGCCTTCCCCACGGTCGGCAGTGCTTTTGTGGAGCATCACGAAGACTCCAGAGTACTACACAGCCAAGGACAGTCAGATACAGGCTCCATGAGCGCCACGCTGTAGTTCCTGCAGGAGGTTGGCACAACGTGGAGACGGGTGAAGGGGGGGGGAGATCAGGGCAGACAAGCCACACGATTAGGTGCATGACATTGTAAAAGCCAGACATTGGTTTTACGGTTGTGCTGCATAGCAGCAGGTTGAGAACAAGCCACAATCTTCAAAACCAAGAGGAGCGCCTAAGGAAGGGTAGTAATTTGAAAAAGCAGATCCGGACTATGGCTTTTTTTTCTCAATATGGAAAAAACCATCGTGTGACTGTGCCATCTTAGACTGAATGACTGCCAAAAGCAGATTGAGATGTGAAAATAAACCCAGGTGATCCAAAAACGCCATGAATGTGGCTTTAGCTGGTGGTCGGTTTGACAAGAGCCAACACTTGTGATAGCCGAGATCCAGCTCCCAGCACGTAGAATGGTCAGATCAACTCAAAAACCCAAAGTCTGAGTTGTGGTCAATGTACCGGCGTTTGCACATTTATGTTGCAGCGGTTTGTTAGTTTTGCAGCTACGTTTGTAAAATATTCCTGTGGCGTTAGGTGCTATTGTTTTTCAAATTTATATCTGTCAAATTATTTGCAAAAGGGAATAGAGCAGCATTTGTACCTTAGGGAAAAAAAAAACACGTTTATAGTCGTGACAAAATAGATGTAGCCAATGACTTCATAGGCTACGTACCTGGGGCTCTGGTAGGTCTTGAAGGCGCTGTGCATCTTCTGCTTGCCCGTGTGCGTGATGTGAAGGGCAGACACACAAGGCTGCAGAATCTCAAAACTATACCCCGTCAGTTCCTCCAACGCCAGTGGCTGAAGGCCATGGGCGGGGGGGGGGGGGGGAAACAAAAGATTTAGTTGTGTTGTACATAAAGTGCACCAAAAAACCGCCAAAGAACCAGACAAGCTGGAAGGCTGCCAAATGGTGCAACTAGAAACAGCAATTGCGCTGCGGTTTAATGCGAGTTTCCAGCCAATTCGTATTTATGCATGGAGAGCCCACGTATGCAAAGGGGGTAAAAAACGTGCTAGTATGTGCATGAGAGGATAGAGTAAAGTTTACCGCTGCCATAGCACAAATACCTTCAGAAAAAGGCAATATTTTCCTGCGAGGCAAGCCATCGAACACCATCTACCACCAGCGCTGGATTACAGGCCACGTGCATATAGCTACTGCCCAGATAGGTGGGCAGCCCAAATGGCAAGAGCAGTGAAATTAGAGAATGCGCCACGCAGATTCGAGCACAATTTAAGTTAACTCGCCATGTAGGGTTTCACCGTTTGCCGATGACATTCACCATATGCTGGCGAGTTCAAGTAATTTTAAGAGTCCCACCCTCTCCCTTGCACCGTATGGTGCAAATGTCAGACATCCTGCTAAAGAGCAATAAAAAACTCGTGTACATCCAGCACTTCACTTGTGCCGTTGCCGACATTAAAAGCCTGAAATTGGAGATCTTTTAATTATATGCCAAGTCCCTGGGTTATGAGATTTGAAGCCTTTGTCAACCACGAGCCTCTTCAAAAATGGCCTTCTCTACAGCTGCACCTATGTGAGAAAGTGGAATTGGTGTGCAGGCATGGGACCATAACAGGTTACATGAAGAACCCATTTTAAATCATGGATGGTTGCTCACATGTAAAAAGCAGCCAACCATACCAGCACATTACAAAGGGATTTATTTTTTGGGGGGCACAAAATTGGTGATGCAGGAAATTAAAGTTGCACATGGTTTAGTCACTAGGAAAACAATGCTTGACATTGCAAATATTTTGATATAAAGCTTTCGCGACTGCAGTAATTCATATTCTCAACGTGACTTTACTGAAAGAGCTAAGAATATTGCAAATATTTTAAAGAAAGTGGGCAGTTAAAATTAGAGACGCGAGCCATAAAGATTGGTCAAGTCCTCAGAGGCAAGGAAGAGGGATACTGCAGTACTTGCCCACTCATGTCCGCTGATCAAGCTTGCCAGGCCGAGCGCAGCTGCCGAGAGGATGGAAGGGACTATGGAGAGGTAGCGCTGACCATCGAGCAGGGTCAGCTCGCCAAGGTACTGTGTGCGCGCGTACACACATGACCCCATATAGAAACGTCAAGGTTTCTGGCTGGCGTCGTCAAGAACTCTTTTTGCACGTCTAAAAAGATCGGATGGTCACAAGTCTGAATCTCAAGTCAAGAGGCCGTTTTGTTAGGTGGAGTGACGTTCAAGAAATGGATGGAACCAGTCTATGAATGTTCATCTTAGGAGATCGAGCAAGGGAAGTCCGCACTGGTGGATTATCGAAATGCTTGCAAATAGAAATACAAAATAGCCCGATGGGTTCCCCTTTTCTGGCAAAAACTGAAGATTTTAAAACAAACTGAAACCTTTTACAAGGACTCGTCTGCATTAACCACAATACCTGCAGTCAAAATGCAAACAAAAAATATAATATATGCATTGTCCTTGAAACCGATTGGTCCACACCAGAGACAGCTTTCTTTTGAGCCTCGTTTCAGACAGTGTTAGAGCAGAGGACGCCAAAAGGCATACAGCCCAAAGACAATGCACTGAGTAATGAGCGTGGGGAGCATGTGCATGTAGATGCACCGTCTGAGACGAGGCTCAAAAGAAAGCCGTCTCTGGTGTGGACCAATCAGTTTAAAGGACAGTGCGTATATTAGAGTTTGTTTGTATTCTGACCACAAGCATTGTGGTTAATGCATACATTATCCTCGTAAAAGGCTTCAGTTTGGTGTTTTAACATCTTAACACCAATTTTGTTGCTAGAAAAAAAGGGGAACCTATTAACATATTTTGGTACTGGCAAAGGAGGTCCCATGTATAAAGTAGCCCATTTCATATTTGGGAAGCTTAAGCAATTGTCTTCCCTTTCGACCAATCACATTGCATGGTTGGAATTCAAGTAACCATTGAACCAGCTGGGGGGGAGGCGGTGTCAAGCAACTCGAGCCATTATTTTTCGAATTCGGTAAAACGATTAAGAGCTGCAATGCAAATACGAGAAGTGGTCTTTGATAGTCACGAAAGTCTTTTAAAAAAATAGCTTACTAACCTCGTGCTAGGGGGCAGTCCCGAATTATCCTAGTAGCAAAAGTATCTACAAATACTACGGGTCACGCACTTTCAAGGGCCCCGCGCTAAATGCTTTCAAGCTATCAATTCCGGTTCAGCGATTCCACACTTGTTCTATTACTATAGCACTATACCCGCCTTCAACTTTTATGAACGACTGGGTGTTTAAAGTTAGCGATTTGTCATTATCTGGCTGCGTAGCAAATGAAAAATGCTATTTACTTTACAAGTTAAATATCTGGCGTGTTTTTTTAGGGCCCCCTTTATAACAACAAATGCTACAGGCCCCGCACTAATCTGGCAATGGGGCACAACATCGCAGTACCGAATGACGGCAGCAGCTTTACCATGGCGAGGCTGACGACTTGAGCGGGCGTGGACAGCGACTGGGCGTAGAACCTCAGGAACTGGGTGAAGGTCGGCGCGGCGAGGTCGAAGCTGAGAATTCGCAGCAGCAGCTGCTCCATGCGCAGCACCTGACGCACGCTGTACGTGTCGGCTGTCGTGTAGGCGAAGTCGTGCGCGTCTGGGGGGTAAATCTCCTCGTATTTGCTGGGGTGAGGGGGGGGGGGTGGCACGTGGTAAAAATGGCAGCAACAGAGCAACGTTAAAAACCCCCACGATAAACAGGAATTTTACTTGGTAAAAATGCTCCCACGGGTGAGGATTGAGACCCCAAGTAGGTCGTGGCTGGTTGACAAATTGGTTTTAGTCGCTCGTTTCTGGCGAGCTAGCGTACGCTGAACTTCTCACCGTACGTAGCCCAAATCTGTGTAAATCGGGAGGGGGGGGGGTGCAAGGGGAAGGCCAAACTAAATTTAAAAAAACCACAACAAATGCAGGCGTTAGAAATCCAATACCCCCTCCCCCTAGCATAATTAACCACCCCATCCATCTGCAGCACTCACGCGGCCACGTAGAGGGCCGCAGCCCCCAGCAGCTGCAGCTTGTCGCGAGTCACGGACATGCGCGAGAGGAAGCGGTCGCTGTAGCCGACGGCGAGGTGCAGCGTCTCCCTCTGCAGGCCGTACTGGGACACCACCTCGGACAGCCAGTCCACCAGCACGGCGCGCATCGGATGCGACATGTCCTGCTGCCGGCTCATGTAGTTCGCCCGGGGCCGGTAACGACTCTGCGGGGCGGGGGGGGGTCACGCGTGCAATGACGTTCACACGAGGAAACGAAAGTATGCCCCTGGCAGAAGTCGCGTGTTAGGGAGATGGAGCGCCACTGGGTTCAGAAAGTTACTTTATGGCGAGGAAGAGTTGCTGCTTTTTTGAACTATCACCTTGTGGCAACCTTATATCCTTGCCTGCTTTCTAGGAAACTTGAGCTACGAACGCTGGACCACAACACCCGACTCAGGGGCGTTTTAAAAAAATGGGATACTCTGCATGTTTAAATTGTAACGCTACTTCAATGCGAAGCTCAGTAGTCTAAGGGGGGGGGGGGGGGGGGGGAAGAAAACTGGTCACCTCTGCTTTGCACATGTAGATGTAGATGTGGACAGAATACTCCGACAAAACCAGGGGGTCATGGACAGTTTCCTTGTTCACCTCCACCCCGCACATGTCCCGGCAGATACAGTTGCCACCGGTGGCCCAGGGAGAGTCCAGGATCATTGGGGAGGCTTGGGGAAAGTGAGGGGGGTGCAGAGATGAGTTGGGGAGGGGGGGGGGGGTCATGCACAGCATCGACCATTTTTTAAGCATAGGGACATTAATTTTTTTAAAATATATATTCTAGTCCACGACTGTAACAAGCCTCAAGATTTATGAATACCAAAAGTCAGAATGAGTGATAAGAGGCATTAAGGCAGCTCACCATCAGGATCGTTAGAGAATGCAGTGGACAAATTAAAAAAGGTGGCCAAATATTTGTTAACTTGCAATCAGCGTGTATGAAAGATTATGTACCCACAAACCAATATTTCATTATACTAATATTGTTAGTCTAGCAGAAAACTGACAGAACCTGATTGCAGACCGGTTCAGAAATAATAAATGGAACTAAATTAACACTGCGTGTCAAATGGGCTTTCAAGAAACTCAACAGTTTGGAATTTTGAAATTGTGGTCGAACGACGATTTGAAATTACTAGACGGCTCTATTTTACAGATAACCGTGACCGAGTTACGAAATTAAGTTAAAGGGCTAAGGGAACAAATATTAGTTCGACATCCTGGGGGCTCCCCCTCCACAAGCCACCAGGTCCAACTAGTAAAAAAAATAGATTTTACTTTGCGAGGCAAGGTTTACCGAGTAAATTTCTTTTTCCAGAAGCGATATGGTCGCAACTGAGCAACGAGTTTGCTTGTGGGAATTTATAGTAGGCAAATACCTTAAAACAATTCTAAAACGAGTAGAAAAACAATCGCGGGGAGAGACGCGCAAACTCCAAATACACCAGACGTCGGGATCGAATCCACGGACTCCTTGATACGGGGGCGTAGTTACCGTCTCGCCACCGTAGTGCCCATGACACCAGATCCCTGCCCCCAGCTCACCTGCGCTGGTGTTGGAGCTGGCGGGAAGGCTCAGCGCGATTTCCAAGACGACCTCAAGATCCGTCGTGGCCTCGTGACCCCTCGGCTCTAGCGACACATTGGTGGAGGCGGAGGGAGCCGCAGCGACCTCTGCCTGCACCTCCGCCTCCTCGTAAATGGCAAACGGGGCAGCTGCAGCGGCAAGGGACGGGCTGTGCTTGGGCAGGGCACAGTCCTAACGCAGACAAAGACAGTGGCGTACACCACAGGGCGACTTGAGGCCAGCCAAGCACAAATACTACCACCGCAAGTGCGAACGAGCAGGCTACATAGCCTCGAGCTCTTCCAGCAGCAGTGCCCCTATGGCAAACTGCAGAGCTGCACCTTTAGCCGAAGGAAAGGTGGCCACGAGGCGTGGACTAAAAAGAAATATAGTTGTGTGGTCTGTGCATACGAATGCGAGTAGTCCAGTTAAGCAGGCAAGCATGGGTAACATGTTCAATAAGTGGACGCAGTTACCAATTGCGGAGGGGCGGCACAAAGCTTGGTCAAGCCAAATAACAAAAATGGGTCAGCCGGCAGTCACGATCGAAATTTGCGTTGTAAAAGAAGCTACAGCTGCAATGGGTACAATTAATTTTCCACGTTAAAAAGGCACCTCCGGCCTTAAAACATTTTTTTTTTTTACACAAAAAGGTAACAAACGCATTTCGACTTTGATTGTAATATATTGCAAGTAGGTCACACGAGGTCCGTCCAATTGTGCTACGTGTATATCATATCCTTGTTCCGCAACTCGCGACTAGCGCAGTTAGCCGTGTGTGGTGCCGAAATACGATACCAAAAAGGGTGCTTCTTTAGTACCGTGTACAATGCCGGTGCCAACAAGCGGCTACGGCAAAGCAAAAAAACGATTTCAACAAAACGCGGCCAAAACAATCGTGGCATCCGTGAGGGATAAGCCCGAGAGAGAGAGAGAGAGCGTGAAGACGCGTGGCCACCACTAGGCTAGCTCCTGCAGTACGGACACCAGTCTCACCTGGCTGGCAACGCCGCGCCGATGCGAGGCGCCGACTCCGTTGCCGATGGATGCCAACACCCTTCTCGTGCAGCCGCCGCCGGCCGTGGCAACCGCGGCGACCTTCCCATTGATGGCGCCGTGCGAACTCACGACGGCCGCCGCCTTGGGGCTGCAGTTCTCATCGCGGTCGTTCCCCGGCAACGGGGCGGCCGGCACGGACGCAACCCTGCGCCGAATATTCGTGGCCATGTCGAGAGCAATTTTACCAAGCGGTACCTGCGACAGCGGCGGTAGTAATGGGAGCGCAGTGGGACCGCTTGGTGTTTGTGATGGGAGGCCAAAACACCACCACCACCGAGCAACAATAAAGGTGATAGCAAAAACAGATTTAAGCTGTGGGTTGGTCGAGGTGAGTGTTGCATAGACTCGAAGCCTTCCCGCCAGCGCCACCAGCTAGATCCCAACCCAAACCAGCGCAGTATGCAGTTCTCCCACTTTGAGCTTTTATAACTCCCGCGTACACGAAGCCAATTAACTTACGCGCGGCGTGAAAGTGGATGGGATGCCCTTCCCCCCCCCCGCAAAAAAAAACCCAATATCATAATCTCCAGGAGCTGCCCTGGTTTGCTAATCACGCATCACTCCATGATTCGTGCGTGCCACTTGCAGTTGTAATTATATAATCAAGCGTTTGTCATAAGTCGCACGTTTAATGAGACGAGAGTGAAATATGTAATAAGTGAATTACTCACATTCAACAACGCACTTGTATGCATGTACGTTGAACTTCTTTCGCACCGTATGTAACCAGCCGTGCTAATCGGAGGTGCAAGATCCCCCGTGTAGCCTGTAACAGACTGTCGGGGCAAGTAGTGTCAGCGAGCACCTATAAAGGCCGGCACGGCACACGAAGGGGTTGGGTGACCAGCACCACGCCCGGCCGCCTTTGTCTCCCGAATGGCACACCACATTGTAACCGTAGTCATTGTTGTGCCCACCTCGCCCCAGAATCTTTAAAGCAAATCATGTTGTGCAGGGATTTTTTTTTAAATCGAGAATTCCCGGCAAGCTGCCAGCCCTTCTTGGAGTAGAGGTTATCAACGTAAGGCACTACCACTAGAGTTTTACAAGGTAAGGCCTATCCGCGATAATCGAAACAAATACAACACCTTGGTCTTAATAATCGAATATGTTACCCTATCTTGCAGTACACTCATCTTATGAATAGGTCTGTACAAAATATATTTTTGTTCATGTTACACATGGAACCCAAAACGCGCGACCAGATTTGTGGATGGCTTTATTTATTGACACCGGCCACGACTTTGGGGTGCGTCTTACCTGCCAGAGGAGGGTCTTTTAACTTCTAGGAATGACACGGTGCAATTCATATAATGTATGACGCAATACCAGGTTCAGATTGCATCATTAATTGTTTTGGTCAAAAAAGCAAGTACTGTCCAAACCCAGTCATAGATGTGTTCATAGATCCATTCCAAGATGTAGTTTAGTCATTTCTGGTTAAAATCGAGATCCCTTCCCTTTGTAACTCACTTATCCTCCGCCATTCCCAAGTCAAGGGTCGTATATACTGACCCAGCAGCATATCTTGAAAACTAGAGCCAATCAACAATTTTAAGCATTATTTTCATTCTCAGTGACCCAAAATTAGTAAAGTTGGACTACATTGAAGCATTTTGGCTGTAGACCAGTGTCATCTGGCGAATACGGTATTACCCGTGCGTGTAAGGCAGGTGGCAAATGAAAGGTGATTTGTGTTGATGATAGGGATGCTTTATTTGCTCTGCACGCGTGCTCGTTAACGAGGGTCAATTTCACCCGAGCAGTGGCTATTGTTCCGGTAATTAAAACGAACTGGCAGGACACCTTTGATGTACAACGCATTCTCTTTCACGACTCACGCGCGGCTGTTAATTCGTACAGTCATACAATCCCCGTCTCTTTACATCCAGCCTCTCATTTGAATGATTGGCCTTGGGGAAAGGGCGTGTTTTTAAGATTGGGGCGCCACGATGGCGAGATGTTAACTACCTCGCCTGGTATACAGGAGGTTGTGGGTTCGATTCCTGACGCTGACGCCTGCTGCTGCTGTATATTTGGAGCGTGCGTGGATTTCTCGCTGAGTCCACCGGTTTTTCCCTCCACATTTATAAGCATGCGTTCCGGGTATTTGACTGCTATATATTTCCACACAAGCCAATTCGTTGAGATATCACTTATTAAAAAAAAGCTATATAGCTCAAACCTGGTAAAATGAAAAATAATTGAGTTTATTTCCAAAAAAATCACGGTTTTCTGAGCACAGGTCCAAGGAGCTCAATACGCCAAGTGGCCAGTAACAAACGGCACTCGTACACAGTGTTAAACTGACATGTAACGAGTTTACACGTTTCGTGATTGGAGCAATGAAGCAATAAGTCCTTGAGGGAAAAAGGCGATGGAAGGGAATTCCAAAGTCAAGCAGTGGCGCGGGAGGACGCAGAAATAATAAATGCGGTTTTATTTTTGCTCTGATTGAAATCAATTAAATACATCCATTCCATCCATACCTCGCCACGGCGGGTCGTGTTTGCTCTCATCAGTTATTGGAGTAAACGGCGAAAAGGGCCGTGACGCAGCGGTTAGCGCGCTAAACCATGAACACAGTTAAGAGAATTCGTTTCCTGCTCAACGGTGAACGTGAGAGGCGAGTGACATTTGAACCATGTATGTGGGCACATATCGGCAGTGGGCCGGTGTGGCGAAGCATGGTCAAACAACATCCCACACCCCATGAGATGGAATAGGGATGCCTTCATCCAGCAGTTGGAAGTGTTAAGTGTGTAAATGTGTGCACAATAGAAATGTTCCCTCTTAATTACCGCTTGCATAACCTTTAATTTTCTCCATCGCATTCATTTGTGACGCAGGAAATGTGAGAAAAAGTAAAATGACATTCTGATAGGTGGAGTTCCCCCCCCCACCCGACTTCGAAGATGAAATCAGCTCGTCCAGGTGCGAGGTAGACTTGTTTATTACATCGCAAGCGACAGCGGCTCTGGAAGGATTTCATCCAGCAGTGGATTATTATTACGGTTTGTCCAGGCAAGGTCGGAGTTTAGTGAATATCTTTTTTCAGAAGGCATCTTGAGTCGTTTTTTTTAATTTGCGAGTAATTGTTTTCATTTGGCAAATGAAGCCGGCACACGATAGCCAACTCTTGCGAATGACGGCACGGGGTATTTTCTGAAATACACCCGTAGTATTAATCAGGGCAGCCTTGAACCTCTTGCAACAATCGGTGATGATGTCCAAGCACAATCATAATCGTCATGACCATCATGGTATGGAGAGGCCCTTCATTCACAGGCCTAGAAGAGAACATGTAAGAGGTTTTAATTTACACCACGTGGTTGTAGTGAATGACAGTTACAAGCTACATTAAGGCATTGATCAACTCGTAAAAAGTAGTCCATTCATCAGTATAATTTGCTCATCAATCTGCACAACTATCACGAGACGAAGGATTTCCCGTATAGCCGAAATAGAACTTTTACGCTTAGGGGTATTTTGCTGTTATCGCACACCTATGAAGGCTGGTACGGCATACGAGGGGGTGGGTGGCCAGCACCACGCCGGGCCGCCTTTCTCCCGATTGCCAATTTTTACAAAACGCATCAGGTACTCATTTAAGGCAGAGTCGCACTAGGGGATGCCCAGGACCGGTTCAGATAATCGTCACTGGTGTTGGCCGTGAGCACCACCACTGATATCACAAAATGTCAATGAACGGAGTGTCATTGAAAATTTCATATGGCGTTTATTTAAACGAGTTTGAAATCACAAAAACATTAATTTTGACCATATTATTCGGCTAATTCGGCGTATTCACCTAATATATTTGCACAACCAGAGTTGAATTAAAATTGTCCAAACTTTATTGTACAACATAATAAAACGTCCATTATTAATACAGTATCATACATTTTTTTCCCCCCGAATGAAACATTTTACTTTAAACAGATGTCTGTAAACAGTCTCTAAGAATTGTTTAAATAACACAGCGCTTCAACAGGGGGTGCTACTGACGATGGCAGGGGATGGGGAAAGAATGTGTTGCATATTGCGCACAATTGACAAAGTTTGGAGGTATCCGGTCGGCTTATTTACACGCGGCTTTCAAAAAGAGGGTTGTGGGTGCAGTGCCAATGAAACCTCTCAATGTAAAAAAAAAACATGAGCGTTAAAAAAAATTCCACCCTTTGGAAAATGATACACAGCCACAGCGAGAATCGTATTAAGAAACCTTTCCTTTTACACTTAGGGATAAAAAACACTGCCCCCCACCCCCAATGGTATTAATTCCGGGAGACACAAAACCAACAACCTCAGTAGCGTCTGTACGAGACCTGCTGACTGCGTGCCTTTGGACTGCATCGGGCCTCTGCAGATGGAGAGGCTTGAGCCACGATGGCTTCTTTTAAAGCTTTCGTGACTGCAAGGATTCATCTTCTTTGGTTCTTTCGGTGAAGTCACGTAGAATGAGAATAAAATAATACATTGATAAATAAAATAACACAATATTCTCACGACGTTTCGGCCACAACACAAGCGGCCTTCATCAGGTGAAGGGACGAGACTGTCTGGTAGGACAGCGCTGGAGTGAAAAAGCCACGCTCAGATCACGACCTTTAAGCTGTGTGAGAGGAAACAAAGCGCCTTGACAAAGGAATTAGCATATAATTTAGCATTGAAATGGCTGAGTGATTAGCTTGTGACTGGTCACAGAAATGGCTATGTTAAAGTTAAAGCATACACATCCGCAGAGTCACCCCTTGATAAAGGAATTAGCATAGCATTTAGCATTGAAATAGCTAAGTTAAAGAATACACATCCGCAGAGGCACCCCTTGACAAAGGAATTAGCATAGAATTTAGCATTGAAATAGCTGAGTGATTAGCTTGTAACTGGTCACAGAAATAGCTATGTTAAAGTCAGAGCATACACATTCACCGAGGCACCTAGTACAAATCAAACAGGAGAATTTAGCATTGAAATAACTAGGCGAATTTAGCATTGAAATAACTGAGTGATTAGCTAGTGACTGGTCACAGAAATGGCTATATTGAAGTCAAGGCCTACACATCTTGTTCACCAAAGTCCCGGTACCTGACACCATCGCTATCATTGAAGACCTGGTTCATCAAGGACTGCATACTGATGTACCCCCCCTGGTGAGACATTGCTTAACCAACACATACTTCACCTGGAATGGAACTTTCTACAAACTGAGGGCACCCCAATGGGCTCCCCCCTATCTCCGGTTGTAGCCAACGTATTCATGGAAAAAATTGAAACTGACGCCATCCAGACTGCCACTCTACGCCCAACCTTATGGAAGAGGTACGTGGATGACACCTTTGTCATCTGGCCACATGGCCAGCCTGCTCTAGACCAATTCCGCGACCACATAAATTCCATACACCCAGCCATCAGATTTACCATGGAGGTCGAAAAAGATGGCAAACTACACTTTTTGGATGTCTTAATTAAAAGGAGACATGATGGTTCAATGAGCCACTCTGTCTACAGGAAAGCTACCCATACAGATGCTTACTTGAAACCGGATTCCCACCACCATCCATCCCAGAAGAACTCCCTCATCAAGACTCTATACCATAGAGCCCAATGCATTTCCGACCAGGAACACATTACCAGTGAACTCAAGCACGTACACCAGGCTCTCAGGGCTAAAGGTTACTCCGACTACACAATCCGCAAAGCCATCACTCCAGTCATGAAGAAGGATCCTCTTGTGGAGCCACTCAAAACCATCACCTTACCCTACATTGCAGGGGTCACTATAAAGATCTCCAAAATCCTGAATAAACACAAGATCCAGGTCCGATTCAACACAGTACATAAAATCCGTGATTCAGTTCCATCTGTAAAAGATGCTGTTCCAGACATACAGTACCTGGGCGTTTACAAACTAAAGTGCCTCTGTGGTACTAGCTACATTGGAGAAACCAAACGACATATCTCGGACCGCATCCGCGAACATAAAGCAGACTTGAAACACGGTAGAACGAACTCCTCTGCCGTGGCAGATCACTGTTATAATTCAGTGGGCTCACATGACATTGACTTCTCCAAGACGGAGGTTCTTTGCAAACCAACCGGCTACCATGAGAGATTCGTTCATGAGGCCATTCACATATACAAGCACAGAGACAATTTCAACCGAGAAGATGGATTCTGGCTCAGTAACCATTGGAAAGATGTTTTAAACCATTTCTGTTCTTAATTAATTGTATTTTACGATGACCTTCAGACCGCAGCTCTTTCGCCAGCATTGACTCTTAATACCTCTCACACCACGGTTAATGGTATGGTTTACAACATGGAGTATAACAGCGCCTCGCAGCTGTCTCTCTCCCCCTCCTCTGTTCCGACCATGGATGAACTCGTCCGTCTGAACGGGGCCTGTAGCTATCCGTGTTGCTAAAGTTGAGGGTAAGAATCCACCCATTTTTTCGCCATATAGCATTGTGATATATAACGACTTATTGTTGGTAGCTTAGCTGATTGGAGAATATATAGAGTTTATTGATAACATTAAGGTAATTTATATTTTAGTTTTTTATTGGTTCACTATATAGTATTCATTATATATTGTATACCCAGTTACTGTGAATAGCTCAGATGTGTAGGCCTTGACTTCAACATAGCCATTTCTGTGACCAGTCACTAGCTAATCACTCAGTTATTTCAATGCTAAATTCGCCTAGTTATTTCAATGCTAAATTCTCCTGTTTGATTTGTACTAGGTGCCTCGGTGAATGTGTATGCTCTGACTTTAACATAGCTATTTCTGTGACCAGTTACAAGCTAATCACTCAGCTATTTCAATGCTAAATTCTATGCCAATTCCTTTGTCAAGGGGTGCCTCTGCGGATGTGTATGCTTTAACTTTAACATAGCCATTTCTGTGACCAGTCACAAGCTAATCACTCAGCCATTTCAATGCTAAAATTATATGCTAATTCCTTTGTCAAGGTGCTTTGTTTCTTCTCACACAGCTTAAAGGTCGTGATCTGAGCGTGGCTTTTTCACTCCAGCGCTGTCATACCAGACAGTCTCGTCCCTTCACCTGATGAAGGCCGCTTGTGTTGTGGCCGAAACGTCGTGAGAATATTATTGTTATTTTATTTTATCAATTTATTATTTTATTCTCATTCTACGTGACTTTACCAAAAGAACCAAAGAATATGTTTCTATAGTTTAGCCTTCTGATTTTATTCAGGTAACTCGTCATTATGTTAACGTTCATTCACGTTTTCTTCTTTTAATGTATTATTTTATAACTGCTGAGCATTTAAAATATCGGCTTTATCTGAGCTAGTGTGAAGTAGCCTTCAACATTGTGCTACGAAAGGCATTTCATTAATGAAGAATATCATTATCAATGCACACATCTGAAAACCAAACTTGACTGCAGCATTAATACTGCACAAATCTCACTTACGTCCAACTGGAAACCAAGCCTCACAGCGCCGTAGTGAAACACTTCCATATTACGGAGTCAACACGCGTTCTGTATATTCACCGGTCTTCAATGCCAAAGTAAACATATTTTGGTGTTTACAATCCGCCCCCACCTCTACCGGCAACAAGACAAATGATCACCATTGAGAGTTGCAGTTTAATTCAGGAATCAAATCCTCTTGTATGTAGTGTTTACCATCCCATTTGTTATGATTGTGGGGTTGTCTTGTTTGTAGTTTTTCTTTGTTTTCCTACATATATAATGTGCATAACATTTGCCTACGTATAGAGTAGGCAAATGCAAGAGTGAGAATCGATTTTGATTAACCTACTTCATGTTGTTTGTCTATATGTATAATTGCATCCATCAAGACGCTGAATCGGCAAATTAAATGTTTTCTTCATTCCCGTAAAGTATTCTTATGCCACTCAAATACCAAACAACACAATACTGAGACGGTAACATTTACAGAAATGGAATCAACTTGCTGCAAGGTAATTGAATTGCTTCTACATCAATAAAAACATTACCACAAACTATTCAGCACATCCTAACTCTAAAAAAAATGGCTTTTCTCAACTACAATATAAGCTGACATGTAAAATAACAATTGAGACCTATTCATGGCTGTGCACTCACCAACACTGCATTTAAAACCACATCTTTGAATCTGGTAATTCTATAAACTTTCTTGCATGTGGTTAAGACTACTTTGTAAATTTTTTGCAAAACCGTTTTAGTCCAAAAACACACCGGGGGCAGGTCTCCAGTTGTCATATTGTGTACAGTATTTGCAAAAAGTCTCTTAAACATAAGACACTGCTTCAAAAATGTTGGAAATGTCTTGAAAAAAACACTCACATACCGAATGTTTTTAAAATCAACAAATTGTTATAAAATGTGTAAAAAAAACCATCAGTTTTAAAATGTAATATAAATAGCAAAAAAAAAATAAACACTATTAACATGACTGTCAAACTCAACAGAATGTTTGTAGTAATAAGCAGTTAATACTGCTAAGTGACATACTGTTGGCAATCCAACACCCAACACGCAACAAGCACATTCACGCTTGTGCACGTCTGTAGTGTGCTTACCAATACTACACTGTGTACTCTGAAAGGTTTTCCAAAGCGAAGAGCAGATGGCTGCATATTGCCACCTGTACGCTTACATTTGTACAACCTTCCTCACCGGCAAAACAAAAAAGTCGCGAGGGCACGGCGCTTCAGGGGAGTGAATTTCGACAGCGGCCATCGGTATGCACAATGGGCATAACCGGTGGTCGAAAGTGAAATGTAACAGCGCCTCACTGTAGGTGTTACCAGGTGCACTGCACACGTAACGCCGTTAGCAAGATTTCACAAACCCATGGCACTCTCGCCGTGCAGTCAAGCGCACGTCGTTTTGGTAATGTGTAAAGATAAAAAATTAAATTGCAATCCCCTGATTGTTAACTAACATTCACAAAACACACTTTTCTAATGCTTCAACACAAATAAGGAAACAGCATTTTACAATTTTTTCGTGTTAAATAAAAAAAACTATACAACATAGCACCATCCTTGGAAGCTTTACAAAAGCCCAATGTATATATTTGGGGAAACCCGGCAATTAAAAGTTCCTTAATGTGCATGACCCTTTGGCTGCTCACTTACATTGGAATGAAGAACACAAGTTTGTAATGCCACTTTCCTCTCGCTACATTTAAGTGGTCAGCCTCTTTCCTTGTAAGTGTACAAAGGATTTGCACAATAATTGAAATAATTATGAAAGACTAACCAAAGGTAAATTGAAAATGGAAACATCAAGCGGTCTACCCCGTTACAGCCCTTTACGCTTTTAATCGTCGTCGTCCAACACGAAGACCTCTATGACGTCGTCATCCGATGAGTCCAGCACGATAACTTCATCGTCTGCGGGATACTTCCTTGTTTGGACCATGCCACATTCAGCCTGCAAGGGGACAAGAATAACAGTTATCCGATATTATTAAAATACCACCACCGTCGTACTAATTCATTGGTTAAAGACCACATTGCAAAATTGCCCTCTTCTGGCACACCAATGCCCATTTACAGGCCAGTCCAGTGTACACCGTATGCCGAACAGGGACAGCTGCCACTGGGGTCCCCCTCTTGGCAAGAATGAAGCAGGGCATTGGAATGGTCCATGAAGAATCAAATGGAGCAAAAATTGAAAAGTGCACAAACCACGATGGAAAGCGACATGCTTGGATTTACAGTGAGACACAGAGCGAGAGGAAAACATTACATTGCGAACACGTTGAGGTTAAATACATATTCTTGGGTCTTTCGGTGAAGTCACATCGATAGGGTAAAAGAAAATAACAAAACATAACAAAAAAACTACGACCACAAAACCAACAAGGTAGTGCGCTGTTTTTGAGTTGTACGCCTTTTGGCGTCATCTGGTCCGACACCAGTGGAGACTAGGCTCTAAGAAAAGCCGTCTCGGGTGTGGACCAATCAATTTCAAGGACAGTGCATATCATTATCAGAGTTGTCTCTTTTTGTTTGCATTTTGACTGCTTGTGTTGTGGTTACTGCAAACATGATCCCTTGCATAAAGGTGTCAGTTTTGATGCCAGATAAAAGGGTAAAAACCTATTACTACTAAGGACTGAATGCTGATGTACCGGCCCTGGTGAGACTGCCTCACCAACACTTACTTCACCTGGAATGGAACATTCTACAAACAAGTTGAAGGTACCCCAATGGGTTCTCCCTCATCTCCAGTTGAAGCCAATGTTTTCATGGAAGAATTTGAGACAGATGCCATCCAGGTATCCACTCTACATCCGTCCTTGTGGAAGAGGTACGTAGATGACACGTTCGTCATCTGGCCACATGGCCTACCAGCTCTGAACCAATTAATCAACCACGTCAATTCCATACACCCAGCCATCAAATTCACTATGGAGGTGGAAAAGGATGGCAAGTTACCATTCTTGGATGTTTTAATCGAAAAGAGACCAGATGGCTCAACGGGACACTGTCTACAAAAAAGCCACCCATACGGATGCCTATCTAAAACCTGACTCCCACCACCATTCATCGCAGAATAATTCCCTCATCAAAACTCTACACCAAAGAGCTTGATGTATTTCCGACCGTCATCACCTAGCCAGTGAACTGGAACACGTACACCAAGCTCTCAAAATGAATGGATATTCAGACCACACAATCCATAAAGCCATCACCACAACCGTTGGGAAAGAACCATCTGAGGACCCAATCAGAACCATCACCTTGCCATACATAGCAGGGGTCACCAAAAAGATTTCCAAAAGCATGAACAAACACAAGATCCAGGTGCGATTTAACACAGTACATAAAATTCGTGATCTGATCCCATCTGTGAAGGATGTGATCCCTGACATGCAATACTCCGGCATCTACAAACTAAGCTGTGTCTGCGGCAGTAGTTACATTGGGGAAACTAAGCAACATGTCTCGGACTGTGTTCATGAAGATAAGGCAGATCTGAAACACGGTAGGACCAATACCTTGGCCGTGGATGATCATTGTTTTAATGCGGTGGGCTCATACTAAATAGATTTCTCTAAGACGAAGGTACTTTGCAAACCCACTGGCTATCAACAAATATTTGTTCATGAAGCCATCCATATATAGACACAGACACAATTTCAACCGAGAAGATGGGTACAAACTGAGCAATCATTGGAAGGACGTTATCAACCAGTTTAAGTCATAATTGGCTATGATGTTCCCATCCTACCACCATCCGATGTTAGTTGTGCTTTACGCCCATTTCAAACCTTGCGCTTTCAGTCACTTCGCACGCCGACCCCTTGGTTACGGCTCTGCGATCTCTCATTAACATGCTAATCTCTCTTTAACATGCTAATTTTCACCTGGCAGCCCTGTGATTGGTGGAAAGACAACCACCGTCGGGTTGGCTGCCCACCACTTACATTATCATTGGCTGCTGACATTTGGGCTACGCCCATTTCAAACCCCTTATAAACAGTTTGCCTTGGAAGCTAAACCCCCTTTTCCTGAAGACGACCGCTTGTGTCGCGATTGAAACGTCGTAGTTTTTTGTAATTTTTTGCTATTTTCTTTGAACCTATCTACGTGACTTTACCGAAAGACCCAAGAATATGAATTCCTGCAGTCACGAAAGCTTTAAGTCAAGGTTAAACACATAATTCAACCATTAGGAAAAGTGGGCTTGTGCAAGACACAAGCCCATGAAGGCCAATGGTCAAGAATGTGCCCTCCATTCACCAACCCGCACTGACCACCGTGGTGACCGTACGATCAAATGCTGCCCATGAACCACAGCATAGGGAGGGTACCTAATCGAGCAGCAAGCTGGCAAAAAGAGCAGTACACGTACACATCATTATTGGTAAAGAAGATGTGCAAAGAGCAATTTCCCCTGCACTGTAAATCACAAACACGAGAATTGTGAATGTCTGCTAAAATAAGTCTGTTCATGTTGCTAATAAATCCACAGCAAGCTATGGATTTATTGGATTGCGCGCAACTTGGTCTGCGAGTGTTTTGCAAGACGAGCAAAATTTTTTAAATAAATATTAATTTGATAAACGAGCGAGGTCTTTCAATATGAGCAGTACGTATACGCTTTGTCTGCCGAGCGTCACGTGATCACAACTGATATACGAGTGCTTTGCTATACGAGTGCCTTGGATTACAAACACGTTTCCGGAACGAATTATGCTCGCAATCCAAGGTTTTACTGTATCTTGCGTTCAAGAGAAAGATATTAGACTCTTCCATGCTTTAAATAGAGCAGCGGGAGAGTTCATACTTTTTGCATCGCTGACAACAACAAAAAATGCCTTCGCTGGGTAATTGAACCTTATACCTCTGTAATAGGTTACCTGTGTTGACTTCTGTACTGTAGCAGTTCCTAAATACACAATGTGTCACATCAGTGGACACAAGTCCTAGTCTTTACGCATCAACCAAACCACACGGGTGTGGTAGAAGTAGTTTTGATGTTGAATACATGTTTTATTATTTTAGCACTTTCTGCAATCACAGAAAACATTCTTTGTGTAAATCTTAATACACCGTGGAATGTCCCAAATATTTAACACCAACCATATATTTTTGGGCTTGGTGTCATGAGCATTGAGACTTAAAGCCGTATATCGCGTGTTGCAATATCACATTGTTCTAAGCTCTTTTTTTTCTGGCTGCTTAAAAAACCAGGAAGGTGCAAATTGAAATGTAAAGATGTAAGGATCTAGACTTAATTTTAAGGAAGTCCCAACACAATTGTGTACAGCGCTGCCAAACTACATTTTTCACACCTCTCTCTGGCAATTTATATTTCTACGATTTGTAGTATTCACTGCTCAAATCTAAATTGCGGTGAAGGCACAGTGCACGTTTCTGTTGGCAAAAATACAAAGCTTTGTGGGCCTGTCAATATATTTCTCCCAACCCTTGAGAAGTATGTCAGCAGCTGCTTTTTGAAAGTTTCTGGTACCAAGTTTAAATATACTGCATCGTATTTACACAACAACTCGCTGGCCTTCGTCAATCCACTGCGCGATGAAAGGCCCTCCGCATGCTGGGTAAATCGAAGAGGTTTCTATGAGCATAGTTTCACCATGCTGGTCAGTCCACTTTGGGAATCAGATAATCACTTCGCCGTTGATGTTATTCGTAGCCAAGATGCAAATGCATCAGGTAGCTGTGTTCCTTGCGCAGTACGCTAGACCATTTCACCACCAATACATCCCTCCTGCATAGTGTAAGCATAATCAAATGATGTAATTGTTTCTAGGCCAACCACACGATTTAGTAAAGTGTCTCACATTTTTGCAGTTACCCAATACTTAAGGGCAATTAACTGACCAATTTTAAAGCAGTTTAAAGTATTACATCAATTAAAGCCAGGCCCTCCCGTAGCCAGACCTATGTTCTGTAATGCTAAACTAAGGTTCCACATTGACTGATGCCAAGTCATAACGTCCTCACAGTACCATAGTCCAAAGTGTGATGAAATTGGAACAACTCTTAACTCATACAAGCGTAAATGTCCCTTTCAGCCTTGTCACAGCTTACAATATGCATGTAAGAAATTCAATCACATGTTAATATATCTAAATGAGTAGTGAGCTAGGAAACTCGAGATATAGGAACCGGTGGAAAGTGTGCCAGATTGATAACGAATTGAGAGGTGCCCTGGTAAAAAAAGTATAGGTGGTAGGAGTGAGTGCAGTTTAAGGTCATTCGGTAGCTATCTGTGGGGAGATACTCCAATAAAAAAGGAAACGTGAAATGTCATATGTTTTAAATGAAATCAGCTCGAGTTATATATATCTGTGTTGAACTCATTTCGCACCGTACGTAGCCGAGTGTGCTAATCGGAGGTGCGGGCGAAGAACAAAGGTATTTCGACCGTTAAGATGTAAAGCATCGTGTCTTCTTCACTCTGGAAGATGCAACGATTGCAAATACAGCCCCAACAGCTCCACCAGTTCCGCCATAAGCTAGAAGCAAGCATCCTCAATATCGAAAACTGAAAACATCATCTTGAACGTTTCGCAAAGCTTGAGATGGCAGCGCAATTGACGATTTAAAAACTCAACTACCTGCCGCACTACAGCAGATTAATGGTGAATGCACACGTAATGCACACGTAATGCACACGTAATGCACACGTAATGCACACGTAATGCCCTTTTTGCAAATACACCGCCGAACAATGGCCTCCCTCCTCAACATGTTGGGTGTGGGGAGCATTGAACTGAGAGTAAAAAAAAAGTGTAGCTGAACTGTTCTTCTTGCATAGACATGTTGCCCAACTCCTAACACGAACCCACATAATGATACGTAATTATATAATGACTCATCGCTGAAATACGTTCCTCCAAGTACAAATCAATTCTTGCTTTCACGTTCCATGCATGAAGTCATACATGTGAGAACCAATTAAATATAATTTATGCAAACATTACCTTTACGACAATGGAAATAACGAGAGAGAATGAGGGCTCAATGTGACAGACAATGCAAATGAGACGGCACAATCAAGATATAAAATTGTGACCCTGAATCGTGACGAACGATAAAAAATTATAGGGAGGGGACGGAATTGTTACACGGTCAGCATAAACTGTGTTAATCAGCAAGTCTGCATTCTTAGATGTATTTGTGTCACCTACATTTGTAAGAGGGCAGCCTGAATGATACCGACAAGCAGGAAGGATACTTACACTGCCACCGCTGTTCTCCGAGGCCAAATCGCCGCTTGCTGTATCGCCTACCACCACCTCTGTGATCTCGTCTTCTATTTCCGCCCATCTCCTGCAGTGACATCACAGAAAATAATGTTCATGTTACAATGTTGCTCTACATTTGAGAGTTTTATGCGCTCAAGGGGAATACTTTGTTCAGCGAATAAATTTGCGTAGGAAAATTTCCATGACGTTTTAAATGAGCCACTCGCACCTTGGCACAATTTTCAAAACACATCAACCGTAGCGATCTGCCCCATCGTTGGTGATTAAGACGTCGGTATATTTTCACAAAAAATAATATGGAAAAGGAACTTTTGCCAACATGCAAATTGAGCCCTTCATTCATATTAAAAAGAATAAAGGTGTACTTTTCTCAAAGTGGACCAATTTATGAAACTGCACAATGAGCAACTGTATGTTGATTGTCATAGAAACATTTTTCGTGCCAGAAATGTGAACTCTGACCTCTCTAAATCTGCATCATCGACTTGATCTGGTGACGAGGGTGACGTTGATGCCTCGGCCGCATTACGACCACCGCCGGCAGTGGTGCGCTGTTGTTTCGACGGTGCACGTGGAGCCACTGATGGAAGCAGGTCAGGGCTGGATCTGGGCGGAGGTGGTGTGGTGTCTACCACAGTCCACCGTTCTGATTCCCCAGACAGCTTCCTTTGTAACTTCAGAAGAACTGGCTCCGTTTCTGGAAGACACATACCCCCATGTCAACACCGAACATTTAAACAGACACATATGGATGTGTCTAAGCCAGGGTTTGCCAACCTGCAATCTTTGTGACCCACCAATTCTGTCTTTTCAATTCACCAATATTTTCCAATCAAATACAAGTAATAAAAAGCCTTCATTATTTGAAGGGAAAATACAAAGAGGGGAGTAGAGAGATGAGGGCGAGAGAAAAAGTTGGATTGAGTCCATGGATTGCGAGCCTGTGGAGGGATCTATGTATCGAGGTGCTATCGTTCCATTTATGAGTGGGAGTGAGAAATCTGGTAATATGTCCTCATGCCATAGAATCTTATTCCATAAGTTTAAAAACACCCAATTAAACTCCAACTTTAGAGATTATGCAACTCCGCCAACCTGTCTATATGCGCCGACTTTAAAAGGTTTGATTTTGATGGTAATCATTTAGTTTCTAAGGCCGAGGAGGAAACAAACAATGAGATAGAAGTGGCGAATGTACCGGATGTTCGCTTGTGTTCCACTGGCCGTGATGCAGCCGACGGAGCGACAGCCTATATTCAAGAGAAGAAAAAATGTGTGGTATTAAAACACTATTTTCATGATTTTAAATTAACAGTGAACACCAATATCCTTCCAAGTTTAATGTTCCAAAAAAAGCACTCCAATCCTATTTTGTACCTGGTGTACCATGTCATTATCATAAACAATATCTGCACACTGAAATATATATTCCAGTGCACTTTATAATGTTGAACAGAATAACATTTTGCGATGAAAGAATTAAGCGTTCATATTTTATCTACAAATTGCAATGCTAAATTGACAACCGAGCAGACTAAAAATTGACGTAAGATTTTCTGACAAAACACCAATTACCAAAACACAAATGCTCAGTCAATTCGTCTTATGATGAACATTTGAGAAATGCTACCATAGGTCTCCAATTAAATGTTGGTCAATTAAGTGCCACTTATTAGTGAAAACATTTATGGAAAGTCAACAAGTTGAAACATTTACAAACATAAATGATATTTTACACAAACATGTTTTGAAATATTATTCATATTGTCAAATGTGTTTAGGATGCAATGAATACACTTTAAGTCAAATTGGCTACATGTGATGATGATATCCAATTGTGGAAAACAAAATACTTTTCGATAGGTGTTGAATAGAAACAATTTAGCTTTGTAAAACAATGACTCAATGTATATGAACAGATTTTGATTCGTATGAGCTAATGTTCTGTATATTTTTTTTACTTTTCCTACATTTTAACCCAATTGGGTTATCTCGCATCACGTTGGGACGAACAAAATCAATTAGGATCTCACGTAAAAGTGACATTTTTCATGTTAGAAAACGGCCCACGGAAGTGGATATCACAAAGCTACCTTCAAGTGACCTCTGGTTCACAAAGAAGGAGACACAGCTTTCCCATCTACTCTGCCACTGAGAGCAATGTCCGCTGCATTTCAATTCCAACTGATATTTTTAAGTTCTCTGTGTTGGAATGAAGCAGAATCAAGTTCAGAACCAAATTTTTTTTATAGCTCTTTTTTTGTGCCAATATTGGTGATCTCCCTGAGACCAACAACTTATGAGGCAGCAAGAAGGTGCCCGGATTCAAATCCAGGATCTTTGGCAATGCCAGTTTACAACGTCACTTCTTCAATGGACACCCCAAGCGAGTGTTCAAGAGCAGAGATCAAACACAACACACCTGTGTGGGGGTAGACTCTGGCCGCACAACAGAGTTAGTAGAAAACTGATAGATTTTCATTTTGTAGTCGACGGGGCCGGCATCATCCCGAGTCCCTTCTTTGCACCGCTGGATGTTGACGAGAAATCCAGCGACGAGGAAGACGCCCGAGCCCCGGGCCTCGCTCACGTGGCGCGAGATGTAGCTGTACACAGTGGAGCGCTGGCTGCTCCAGTCACAGTGGCTTTGCAAGTGCACCACCATGCTCTTGCGGGAGCACGCCGGTGTCTCTTTCTGCAACTGGTTGCAAGAGTTGGCAGGGGTGGGGATAGGATAAACAATGTGGGGCTAGCTCAAAGATTCAACATTCGGTTCAAAACAATGGCAAGGAACCAAAGCAGTAATGTCCAAAAATTAGACGGCACAATGAAAATAGATCCCTTGACTTTGAGGAAATTGGCTACATTATAAATGCACTGACCAATTGGCTAAATAGCAGCTTAAAAGATGTACAGGAAAGGCTGCTCAATTCATGAGCCACCACAAAATTAGTTGTAGCTCATGGTTCCAGGTTGTGCAAGCGACAAGCTGTCATTGATTTCCCAGTCCTCGGCGATACATGCAGGTGAATTGAGTAACTGGAATGAGATGGCGGTGGCTTCATCAGAACTGTCTCAAATAGCCAGGTGCATGCAGTCCATGTAGCATCCCAGGTTAATGGTCCTGGTGTTTACCCAGCACTGGAGCATTATCAAACAGGACTCGTGTACTTCAATGACAAACTAAACATAATACAATATTTACAGCTGTTTCTTCATCCACAGGTGGCTGAAGTCCTCCCCATGCTGCGTCGGTGAAGGGAAGTATTTGCTTCACCATGCCAATCAGTGCAGGTTGGTGAACCACCATTGATGTTCGCCGTGGCCAGGAATCATGCCACCACTCCATCCAATTATCAATTCATCCATCCATCCATAAACATCACTTGAAATTGTAAAATCCCATGTGAGGTGTACCCTTATCACAGTACAATTATAAATCCGCAACTCTTATTAGCCTAGGTCATGGGTTTGGAACCAAAATAACAAGGACTTTTTATTCAAATTTGATTTTAAAAAATCAATATTTCAAGAGCCACAATTAATGTGAATACAAGGGTGGTCCTGAATAAATTCACAAAGCAGTCCTTAAAGAGCCACATGCGGCTCTGGAGACACAGGTTGCCGACCCCTGGCTTAGATTATCATGAGCTGCCGTGAGAGCTATATCGTTGGCTATATTAATGTATACAAATTCATGGCATGGCCCTACCTTCCTGCGGCAAGCGCGTGTGATGGAAATGGCCACTTGGGACACTCCTGGCTCGGCACTGATGGCGTTCGCTTTGACCGCCCCCCCATGTTCATCGTCACTCGCTTTCAGAGCAGCCACTGGTTTGCTGCACTGTTTCTTCTTGATCGCCCGTAAGCGTAGGCTGCGTCTTGTCGAGGCTGCGGATCTCGCATTCCTCCTCCCTGAAACAGCAACAAGTGTAACTCAAAGTAAACAGCTGCTTGCACTTTAACACTCTGATAAAGCGTAATGGCCATCTACGAGTGCCTCCTTGCATTTTTTTTGTCCAATTCCTCATCAGACATCACTTAAGAAAACAAAGTAAGTGCAAACATAACACATGATTAACAAGAGTTATATTTCCCACCAATAGAAGCATGAAGTACTGCTTATCGCCTGTTTGAAGCCCTCAGCCAGTTTTGGAAATTCCACATTTCTATGACAGGAGGTTGAGTCTATCAAGAAGAAAACTTCTGGAGACTTTCCAAAAACTGAGGGACAAGTAGCTTACTGCCCCACTGTAAGTAATAAAGGTTACAGGAATCAACCAATCAAAGACTAATAACGCACCGCCTTCTTCATATTCAACAAAAAGCTGTAACGGAAGCGCAGCTGCAGTGGCGAAGAGAATATTTTTTCTCACCTGCGACTGACGAGCCAGACATTTGCTTTCTCCGCCTGTCTTCCCGTTTAACGTTTGCAAGACGTCTGCGGTTGCACTTGGTATATCGACGAAATTCTATGCTGGAATCTTCAGAATCTGTGCCATATAAAGTGGGAAAAGGGTTATTTCTAGTCTCCACTCTTAAATTGGTCCAGTGCCACAATCCAAACACAGCACCACTCCACGATTTATAAATAAAATAGTACAGCATAAAGTTTTCTCGCGGCTGTGCTTCATAGTCCTCTGATGTATTTCTGGGTTTTACCACGTCCCATGCGGCATGATGTCTGTTGCTTTGTTCCACGTGCTGGAACCTTCAGGAAACGAATGTCAAAAATCACACCAACCAATATAGCAAAACTCAATAATTAACAGTAAAACCTTGGATTGCGCGTAACTTGGTCTGCGAGTGTTTTGCAAGACGAGCAAAATTTTTTAATAAACATTAATTTGATAAACGAGCGAGGTCTTGCAATACTAGTAGTACGTATACGCTTTGTCTGCCGAGCGTCACGTGATCACAACTGATATACGAGTGCTTTGATATATGAGTGCTTTGGATTACAAACACGTTTCCGGAACGAATTATGCTCGCAATCCACGGTTTTACTGTACATTGAAAAGTTGTAAATATGCCTTGCGTGGTCAAAATGGTTAGAAACTCTTAACCATTTTGGTTAGAGTCGCCTGATGAAATTTAGTACGCTTTAAGAAATATCTTTCATGTTACATCAGCACATCCTCAATAGAGATGTGAAAAACAAAATCCATTCGCCACCACATTTCACGATAAGTGCCTTGCGGACAAGACCCACCTTTTCCATTAAATCCAATGCCAACGTCAGAATCCGAGTCAAGGAAGTCGTCATCTTCCTTCTCGTAACACACATCATTGTCCATATCTTCTCCGCTCGCTTCCGCCTCCGTGCTGCTGTCCACCAAGCCTGGACGTCTCATAAGCACCCTCCGCTTACGTCTGCTGCACACATCACTCACGAGGCTCCGGGGCTTTGAGTTCAAATCTGACTTTTCCACCTTCACTTCTGGAACCAGCAGAGCCTTTTGGTACTCCCTTGTCATGATGCGCCTTTGCATTTTACGGAACGGAAACGTCCCGGCATTGAGTATCTGCCAAAAAAGGAAAGCACATATTTTAAGTAAATACATTGAAGAAAAAAAACTAAAATTATACACTAAGATGCTTCAAACAGACATTCGAAAGGATGTCTAATTTACATTAAATATCTGCACTAACCGCATGCTATGAAACCACGAATATAACAGTAACATACCATCTGTGTGGTGAGCGCAGAACTTGCGATCATGGCCCTTGTCTTGGTGATGGCGGTCTTGGGAAGGCCAGCGTCTAGCGACCTCTGTTCCAACCACTCCATGGTGCAATCGCTCTCCTTGATGGCTTCGGCGCACGTCCACGTAATGTAGTTCTGCCCAAGACAAGCCGTGTTCCTGTACACAGTCCGCCCAATCTTCTCGAGGGCCAGTATCGGCCCAGGGAAGCTCGGTACCAAATTGTCACATTTCTGCCGCACGGGCACATCCCAGGCCTCCACAGTACAGATCTTCTCCCGTTTCGGCGTCGCACCGAGCCCAGCTTTAACCTTGCTGTTCGACGTGTTGACATCTGCACTGGCATTCTGGCGATCACAAGATGTTCTGGCTGTAGGCGAGATCCAAGCTTGAGGCGCAGTTTCAGCCTCCGCATTAATGCTGTCCACAGCTAAGCGTTTTGCACAGTGCCTGTCACGTTCTTCAGTGTTACTTTGTTTAGGGCAACCCGGGAACGTGTGTGAAGGTGTGCCTGGACTCGCCAACTGTGCGGTGACTGATCTGCTCGCCTCGGTCTCCACGAGCTGCTGCCTGAGTCGACGCTGCCTCTGCTGAACATACTCGAACCGCCGAATGTAGCTGTGACCCGCTTTGTGTGGCAGCCTGAATGGGACGGTGGCCACTGTGGCCTCGAGCGAGCGGAGGGGGGGAGGCTCCACACAAATGTCAGAGCACTCCACCTCCAGGTACTGATCCAGTTGCTCGCTCAGAAACACGGACCTGTTCTCAGGCTTGAGGCTGGGGGTTTTGAGTGGGGCAGCAGTAATCTCTGGAGTCAGGCTTCTGGGAGTCATTGCTTCGCCTAAAAAGGAAGAAAAAACATGCGTATGAATAGATTCTGTAAAGGTTTCCAACATGCATCACACAATTATATTATGTGTGTATTTATGTTGAATTTCTTTCGTACCTTACATAGCCAAGTGTGCGAATCGGAAGTGTGGGGGAAGGACAACAAACTAAACACACCAAGGCAAATAATTTCAGTGCTGGATTTCAGTGAGCCTGTGAGCAACCCTTTGATTAATTTGTTAAACCCTGAATCGCAACAAAAATTTACATTGCAGTTTCGTTCGTATTGGATCACCGTTAGAGTTATCATGCCCCTACGTTGCAGCCAAATGGACAGACAAATGAGAATTAAGGTATTTTTGCTTTAAACCTTAGTTGTAAAATGTAAAAAATGCACACTCATTCATGTATTTTCTCAACTGCAAGGTCAAGCTGCAATACATTATACTAAACTTAATAGCTGCGTGCACTGAGCTCCATGAACATTAAAAAAGACTGTCAAATCAGATATTGTGCTTTAAATAAATCTAATTTCTGAGAGCACAAATGATTATATGAATTAGGCATGAATATTCAATGATCCTTCACATTGACAAGTCAATGAATCGTCTCAATTCAGGGTTATATTTCAAATAACTCTCTTTTTAACAGTGGCGAATACAGCAGCTGGTATTTGTTGCAGGGGTGAACCCGTCATACTCAATATTTTTACTTGTACACGCGCACAGCAGTTTTGTTAATACACACGGCACCCAATGCCATGCAGATCCTGGGCGTTATGTCCGTACTTAAGCGTAAGCGCGGGAGCATAGTGCGTTACATTCGATTTTTCTGCAGACACAACATCTATGATTTGCAGCACATAACATTCTTATACACATGATCTGACCTATGTAAGCTTAAGGATTTAAGTTAGATGCCATGTTAGACGTCTAATTTACATTGTGAGAAGTTATTACTTACTGGTGTCCTGCAGCTTAAAGTCGGAATGTGGAGGCGATGAGTGGGATGCCTCTTTGCAGCGCAGTGCATTTGAACCCATTCTCCTTCCAGCAAACTGCCTCCATCCCTTCTTCTTGTGTATGACTGGCGGAAATGTGGCGTCTTTTAAAACAAAACATTTCAGAGTTAATAAAAGTATATCTACCATGCACATCTAGTATCATCTAATAGTCATGCGATTAACAATTCTATAAAAGCTGAACGGGTGTATCTACATTATTTCCCATGGTGTAATAATAATAGCTCCGTTTTTAATACTAATAACATTTAAAATTGTATTTTTAAATGCATGTCAGCCATCAACATTTTACAAAATTGTAAACTGTTCAATGTCCTTCATGCCACACTCGTTATACAAACCTGAGAAACCTGTGAGCTTCGCCTTTATGGATTCATCAGTATACTCATCATGTGGGGGACTCATTTTCCGTGGTAACCGCATTTCTGAGGACAGGATTTCCTAGATAAGTGGAAAAAAGCAAAGCACCAACATCATAAAATGCGTTAATTATACAGTGCCAAATAGAGAAATCTGCACAAACTACACTCGTAGCAAGTGATCAAATATAGCAAGAACTATTTTGTTTAAACTTAATACATTTAATTTTACTTATCTTGGTCAGTCGCAACAAGCCATGTGTTCATCATAATTTCTTGTAACCAACATATGTGATGACAACAAAGCAATTACCTTAATTGGTTCATGTACAGTTTTTGGTGCGTGATGAAGTTTGCTACTTAAAACATTATGTTTGCCATCATTGCACCCATCACCACTGAGTTTTTTGGAGATGTTCAAACGTGCTTCTGCTTCAAGTTTTGCCAGTAGGTTATAAATAAAATGTTCTTGTTTCCCCATGGGGCTACAGTCACTGTCGCTCTGTAATGCAGATAGAGCAGTTTCAAGCAAGCATTTTTCCTTCGAGATTCCTCTTTGATGCTCTACAGAATCACTATGTGTGCCATCTTCTGACATGCCAGCAGTATTTGTTCTTGAGTTATCAGATCCACCTGCTGTTCTTTCGCTGTCCAATAGCGAGCTTGGTCTTGTCGCACAGGCACCAGTTACCTCATTAAAGATGTCCCAGAACCCACGTGTAGATCTGCAATACCTCTGGGCAGGTTCTTCTACAGGCAAAGCACCAGCTTTCAAGGGATTCTTTACTTCGCAATTATCTATGATGCCCGCCATAGTTTGATAAACTGTGTTTGAAAGCAAATTTTCTGTGTTTCTGGCTTCAGCAAGATGCCGCTCTGCCAGCTTTTTCAGGGACATCGACGCAGACCCCGACTTCTCCAAAAACATTCCATCCACCTCCAAATACGCACCACTCTTCCCCTTGGGTTCCTTTGTCGTGCTCACGGCAGTGTGACCAAACAGACAGTTAGAGACAACATTAGTACCACTATCGCCACTGTTGCACAGCTCTACCATGGGCTCGTGACGCGCGCTGCCCCCGCGTTGCCCGGCGAAGTGGAAGTCATCGTCCTCCATGGCTGGCGTGTGGCTGGGCGTTAGGAGGGTCTCCATTCCATTACCATTGTGTCCGCCGACAAACAGCGCCAAAGTTGCTCACGGCTAAACTTTCTGGAAAACAGAAAGCAAATGGACAATATTGTTAAGCCCGGCTCAGATCAGAAGAAACATGAAGAAGACAATTTAAACTGTGGCGATTCTGTAGAAAAAAATACATGCTGCGGTAAAATCATAACTGGTTTAATGCCTTACAGGGCATAGTAATAGGCGCACCATATCAAATATTGTAAAAATTGGGGCAGGAATTAGGGCACCTATTGACTGCAATCCAATTTTTCCAAGCAGCAGTATTTCGCACGTGATGGTCGGCAAAGAACAGTAAAGCAAATGGGTGATAACTTATACAAGCGGATCTCGGTTCTGTCTCCACATACAAATATATGATTTAGTCATCAGTCCATTGGCTTTCGAGACCAATATTACGACGCTGAATTTGTTTATTTAAGCAAACTCGAGCTTGCTAATCTATCTCTGCCCAATGTTTAGTTTTTCCCACATGTGCATCGTCGGAAGGTGCCCTCGTGTTCACCACATTCCAAATGTAAATTTGGAAATGTGTCGACAACCTTAATGCAAGGACCCTTACTGAGTGTTTAAACTCATTTAGGCATTCTCGATAAATATTGACATATTCGTTCCAGGATAACATTTACGAATTGTAAACACAAAATGGTCTCATAAAACATTATCTTTCATATCTGTTAACTCCACTACCACTCAAAAATGCAGTCCTATAAACGAAACAACGTAAGAGTTAAACACAAAACACATTCCCGAGTTCCGTATTTTAAAGATGCACGTGTTTACGTTTTTAAATCTTACGGTTTTATTTGCGCTCTGGTACCCTATAGAGCTGCTCTTCGAAACGTAATTATCATTTCCAGTGAAATTTTGAATAAGGCATTTTAGCAAAAAAAAATGTTTCACTGGTTTGTCAGAGCAATAGAATGTAAGACGTATAAGTCCCATTTTTAAACGTATTCAACCGGTCACCATTGCAGGAGATAAATCGTCTCAACGAGCTCCCATATGGTTTTAATTTAAGTTCACGCAACAAAAGCGCGGCTACACACTGCCAAGAATGAAAGCGTCTTCCCTCGCATCACCTTATTGCGGTAAATAACCGATCAAAATAAGACGATATTGTATCACGGGGCTGTGATAAGATAACCAAACCTAGGAAGAAAATGCTAATTCAGCCCCCATCGTGGAGACAAAAGGCTCAACCATCACGGCAAAAAAAAACTAACTCAATTAATCACTCTCACACACACCACATTCACAATACAAAATACACACACACGAATACTTTACCGTTGATCTGTTAAGATATCTCTTTACAGGGTTACGGCGACGGGACATTAACCAGGGGTTACCGTGCCACAAAGGGCAGCGGCGGGCCCTCGGGGTCAACGAAGACCGAAACGCGACCTAGGCCGCAGGCTTTTACCAGTCTCGCCTGAAACCCCAGGCGGGAGATGTGCCGCTCAGACCGGGCCGAACCGCCGCGACGCACCAGCTACCTGAATGCTCGGGGTTTACGGAAAAAATAAACACCTTTGTAATTTTTGTTTTTTTTTTACAATTAACGTTTCTGTTGTTGTGCCACCTGAGCTTTGTCCGGGTCAGAAATAAATAACGCCTGATGGTGATAGTAATGTAATGCGGTTAATAATTAAGCATGCAGCCACAGCGGAAACGCTGGGGGTGCTGACGTCAGCAAATTACCGCGGGCCGTGACGTCACCACAACACCCGGGGTCACTCGAATCACAGATGACCGATCGGGATCAATATTACAAATTAATCGATTTTTAAAAAACAATTACGATTGTTGAATCTCACGAATAGTGGCCGTGCTTGGCATAAGCAAACCGAGAAAAAGATTAAATCCCCAATCATATGAAACGGTTCTAGGATTTATTAAAAAAATGTAATACGTCAAATGCTATCTCAAATTTAGGTCTCAATAAATATTGCAACGTAAAGAGCCAATTTATGCATCTCTTCCATATGTTGTCTTTACTCACAATTTAAATGATCATACTACATATCTCGTGTCTGTACCTCGTTTGTCTTCTCACTGGGATTGTATGAATTGAAAATGGTGAACAAAATAAATAATATTTAGAATCCCCAATGAACTGGCACGTCGTGGGTTCGATCTAAACCCTGACGCCTGCTGTATATTTGGAGTTTGCGTGTCTCTCTCCCCGTAGTCCCGTGGATTTTTCTCCAGGTCCTCCGGTTTTTCCCTCCACATTTAGAATCAACATACGTTTAGAGTATCTCAGCTGCTATAAATTTCTAAGTGAAAAGCCGCTTCGTCGCTTCTGAATAGGAGCTTACATAGCTCAGTGAGCCTTACCTGGTCCAATAAAAAAAACCCCACTTTAAATAGATCATCGGCACGGCTTGCAGCAACGGGACATGCGCAGCAACAGCTTGACAGCATTCAGTCAGGGATGGAAGTGAGTTTTTGTGGAACTGAAGGACCACTCATTAAACCTTTAACCAGGAGTGCGTGACAGCTGGAGGGTGAGATGCGCCGCATGCGAACGGCAGTGATAGGAGGGTCTCGACAAAGCAGCGAAATGGGGGGCGGGGGGGGGCGGGGGGCTACGAGGTCCTGCTTTGTGTGCGGACAAGTCCCGGGCACTTTGCCCGTAAATGTCGACGGGTGTCCCATGTGTCCCCTGGTGGACCAACGTCAATCGCACGCCACCCTCGGCGGATTGGGCCAACCAACGCGGGTGCTTGCAGGGCATGAATACTTGTTGTCTTCAGCCTTCTCCCAGAGGCCGTTCTTGCCCTTGTCTCACGACCGCTTTATTTTACTCTCACTCTCCTCTCCATTCCCGGCCAAATCGATGTTTTTGGTTTTTAACCAAATCCCCTTTTTTCGCGCCGTTCTTTAATGATTTTACTGCGGGTGACATCTTACAACTGAACCTTAACATACCCCTCCTCCCCCCGTACAATCTCTACAACAAAACGGGATTTTAATAGATTCTCTATAATATCAATGTGTTGTTTTGGAGCTATTAGTATGGGTAAAATCATACACTGTATAAGCAGGGATCAGAATGGCTTGATATCCTAGAAAGAACATGAGTAATATTTAACTAAGCACTGTATACTGAAAATTGAGTGAAAAAGTGAGTTACGATGTTTCATATTCATAAAATTGGGTGAAATCTTAAGAGTGGACACAACCACTCATAAGCCGATTGCAACCGACAATAATGAATAACCTTACACAATTAATTCCACGTATGAATTATTAACATTGCCAATTGATACACTGTCAACAAAACTGACGACGTACACGTACGTCAACGGAACGGGAAAGGGGTTCATTTGCCTCAGCCAAAGATGGGCTGCAGCACTCGGGGCGTGACGGCGTCACGTCGGCCATGTTGCGTAGGGGTTGTCTTCCTGGCAGGTGATGGGCACTTGCAATGGAAGTAAATACGTAATCCCTGGGCCACAGTTTATCCCGCGGCGTGTCCTTTATCTAAATAATCTGTCGCACAACTTTGATTACATGCAATGGAATGAATCGCCTATAAGCAGGAAATTAAGTTGCACGATTTCATGGAGAGCGATTGTGGTTGCATAACTTCGCTCAGGTGTGGACCTGAATTTACTACCTTTGACAACCATATTTATTTTTATTTATGACATCGAGAGATATTTAACAACCGTAATCAGCCGGACTTACAAGTATTTGACACATAAAGAGCATTTTCTGAACTCAAAATTATCTTCTGTCTTAACATGAATCACAAATGTTGTCGACAATTGCCCATGAGCATTTGTTTATGCAATCAAGTGATTGGTGTTGACATTCTGAGTCTCATCAGCAGAGTTAGGGTTGTTAAACAAATGCTGCTGGGTTACCAGATGTTATTGGCGAGAACATTTCATCTAAACTATGGGGGGGGAGGGGGGCAGTTCAGTTCTAACACAACATTTCATCCAAATTCATGCGTTATTGTGGAAAATTATTGGGTTAAAAATCAGAGATGTTTTCCTTAAATCTCAAACCTAAATTATCACGCTCATGAAATTAATGGTGACCGGCAAAAATTGTATTTTAGATAGGCTCCGGTGACGGATCACATATCCGAAACAAATGCGAGTACGTAAAAAAACACAAAAATAAATGGGCAACATGTTTGTCAACACCGTACTGTATAATAAAATAATTTACTCTAACGTATCTGCAAACTGCTGCTAATGCTCACGCCACTTCGAGCGTAAGGGCCTCCACTAAGGAGGGCTCTAGAGTCTAGAGAACCCTTCCTAGGGTGTTATTTTGGTCTCAGAAGAGGGGGGGGGAGGAGTACCCACACTTTACCCTACCAGTTGTCTGACAGCAGCAGTGATGCAGTAAGGCAACTATGGACCGGTTTAGAATTTTTAATACTTCGGCTTTCGCGACCAATATTATCCATAATAGGTTTTTTTGGGCTAGTTAGCGTAAATATAAATACGTCGTTAAACCCGCCACCACCTGACAAAGCCAAATAACATCTGGTAACCCACCATGGTGTGCTGTGGGTTTACTCTCCAACACACCGATGTGCTGTACGAATAACGAATTGTCATGTTTTGTTTACGTGAAAACCCTTACTAATTACATGTGTCGGGTGGTAGCGGCTTTAACGACATTTACATGTACGCGATTTAACCCACAAAACCTCTATTACGTACTCTTTGGTTCTGAAAATCGTCGCCTGTTACGTATTTTTTCTTCTGTTAAGGCCACGACAGTGCTCTTGAGACAAATTACGGTTTTCGGCTTGTGCCCCACTTGCCAACGCAGCAGGAGCTTCGTCATCACCACCACCACCACCAAGCACACCGTTGGTATAAACTCGGATCGTTTCACGTTGACTCTGGACACGTATGTACGTTCTCCGTTGAGAGATAGGGGGGCGTCCATAAATGACGTCACGCGATTTTGGACGATTTTTGACCCTTCCCCACCCTCCTCGTCACACGGCGTCACAAAAAGTCAGACCCCCCCCTCAAATATGACGTCACAAAGCTCTGCCCCTCCCCCCCCCCAAATAAAACATGCATCAAATCGCATTAAATTATTGTCATTTTTCGGTAAAGTCACGTAGGTAAAATAAAATATAACAATTAAATCACGACGTTTCGGAGGAAACACAAGCTTCCGTCTTCTGTGTCAAGTGCATTTGACACAGATATTCTGCTGTGACTGTTCCACCTGAAGACGGAAGCTTGTGTTGCCTCCGAAACGTCGTGATTTAATCGTTCTATTTTAGTTGATTTAACCTACGTGACTTTACCGAAAAAAAACCAAAAAAGGTACATTTCATTAAGTAGAACGTGTTTTTTATATTTTTCTAAAGTTGCGAATTTTTATGTGACGTCTCATTTCTCAACCCCCCCCCGTAACCCATCGTCCCAAATGTCTGACGCCCCCCCCCACCCCCCACCCCCCTTTAGGTGCGTGACGTAATTTATGGACGGCCCCTAGTCACTCAGCAACACCGTGCAAAGTTAAATGCCATCCCCCCCACCACCACCACTGGAACCCTCCTCCTCCTCCATCCACGGCGCGTTGCGAAACACTGGACGCGTCATTCACTCACGAGGTGACCGCCAATCGACAATTACGTTTACGGAACTCGCAGCCTTCGCCAACCCACCCGCCACCATCACCACGCCGATCTGCCTCGGCTTGGCTAGGCTGCCGTCCCCAACACCCCCCCAACACCCCGCCGCGCCACACGCAGAGCACTGAACAGCAACAGCCCCCTGAACCTCTTGAAGATTCACATTGTCGTCGAAGCAGAGCCAAGGTGAGGCGTCAATCGGGAGACGTCTTTTCGCCGTCCGTTGAAGCGTCTGCAGCATTGTGACACATTTGTTTTGCGCCGCTGAAACTCGTGTCCTTCTTAGCTGAAACGCGTGCGTGCGTGGCGTACGCGCGTTGTTCACGGTGGAGGGTTCGTGAATTCGGGTGCTGTGGTTTTTACGCACGGGCCGCGGGTTGATCTTTACTATCTCGGCTGTAAGTCGAGTCGCAGACGAGGCGTGTTTCAAAACGCATGGACAAGTACTTGGGTCTGTTCGCCCCCTCCCCACCACGACCGTGGACGTTGTCAATCTTTGCCAGGATCTGTTGTTTTGCGCGCGTTTTCATTTTTTTTTGCGCGCTCGGTGTAAAACAAACTACCGTACCGTGTCGCCAAGTGTTTTTTAAAAACTCGCTTAAGCACAAAAGCTCGCCGCTAGAGGTCGCTGTTGTACTTTGTACTGCGTTGCATGGTGCGGAGTTGTGAGTTCGTGATTAAGGTGACGGCGCCGTCGAATGTTCCGGTATTTGTAACTCGTCTTAACCAGCGGTGGATACACCGCGGCCACCGATAATAATGATCCGCTCTTGGGTGAACGTTCGTGGCATATGACTCGTGCCTTTGAGGGGTGTTGTGTGGGGAGAGACATCACGTGCTTTTTGCAATTCCCATACAATATTCACTTCTGAAAATAGCACTCACTGCTGAAGGCAATGTTTTGGTGAACTGTTGGCCTTCTTTGGAGTTGTGTGGAAAATGTGGAGGGGGGGTTTTTGTTGGTCTTGTCTATATAAAGAATGCAGACTATAATAATAATAAAAACACACTGCGCCTGCATTCATATTCTTCTAAAGAGTCAGTGGAGCAAAACGTCGAAATTGAGTGGCAGGAGTGAA